GGCATCCTTAAGCAGCATAGTAGCACTTCCAAGTTCTGTTGTTTACTTACCCCAAATGTCAAGGAACCTTAACCTCACACGACTACATTTTTTAACAGCTTGGTAATATCCCAGAGATCCAGCCACAGGAATTCTACGGTTTTCACATGGCAAGATGACCAAAGAAGAGCAAAACTGAGCTTCTCAGTGGCCTAAGTAACTTTTAGTTACTTGAATACCTGAAAACTCAAGAGCTGCCTCTCCATTCCCTTGCAATGCTCAGTCTGATCAGAATGATAACAGCACCATACTTAAACATTCACTAGCATTAACGCGGCATCTAACCACTGTAAAGGGGCTTCCGGGTACCAGCCTATTGGAACTCACGGGGCAGGGCTAGTTGTATTTCTCTGCCTTTCACTGAGCCTGGCTGCAGACTCAAAAATGCAGAAATGTACAGTTACAGTCTTAAGATTGTTGACAAAAAACACAGGCAAGAAAGCCGAGATAGGAACTCGGTGAAATTTTTGAATTCCCTAGCTTTAGGCCTGCAGCTTTTGGAGCTGTGATGTGAATTTAGAAGGCTGGTAAGCAACACAAATCAAAGAGCGGGCATTTCTGGGCCTGTGAAACAGTAAAAAACTTATTCATGACATGTATGTATTTTCACATGGAAAACAGTTGTGTACATCTGAAAGAAAGGTACGCTTACAAAGGAGAGATACTTACGAGCTGCTTTGATTTGTTTCTGAGTAGCCCTGTATCGTATATTTCCTAGCCCAAGAACTGCATAATGGTCTTGATTCTGAGGAGGAGGAAAAAAACCAAAAAACAAATCCCTAATAAACACTGATAAATGCAACCTAAAAAGCCACAACACAACACATGCAGAAAAACAGTTCTCCTGCCCATCTTTTAAAAGAGGCAGAATTCTTCCCTCTCTCAATAAACATTAGAAAAAGAACAGCTGTCATAAAGGCCATAATTATTGAATAACCAGATATCAATAAATTAAGCCACTGTTACAGAAATTCAAGTAGCTTAATCTAAATTGGTTTAAAGCACTGAATCCTAGAAAGTTCAATTATTGGAAAAGGGAATTGCTGTCTTCAATATTAAGAGGGCTAACACAATTCCAGAACAGGGAGAAGAGACACTTCTTACTTCAGAACTTACACCGCTTACAGGCAGTAAAATGCAAGACAGTTCAAGACTAAGATCTTATCCTGATGTGCACTTGAGTTTGCCCCCATCAGCCAGTGATGCGTGGAAAACACAAACCCAGCTATAACACTAAGGGACACAAACCAATTCAGGTGGGGGTGGGAGGGGAGGAGGAAGGGGATCTTTAGCGGCTGGGCATGGCAGATCACTTTGACAGGAGATTTCCAGCAAAAATAATTAACACTAATCTACATCAACTGAATACCTTCCAGTCCTTTGGATCGAGGGTTTTTAACATAGGAAATTCTTCAAGCTGCAATTCTTCATCCCCCGATTCTTCAGAAAGTTCCTTCTCATCTTCTAGCTCCTGGAAAGAGGCAGAAACATTTATGTTTCTCCTCTTAATAAATGCTTCAAACCATCTTCCCACAGGTTCCACTTGACAGAGTACTGATGCTATAAGCAAAAACATAAAAGCAACTTCACCTTCTGTGGTTTACTTTTTTTTTTTCTTTAATTAAACCCCATCAAAGCCCATAGCAGTCCTGCATCACGCCAGGCTACAGATTGCCAAATCTTCTAGTTTGCTCTAAAAACACCAGACCGCTTTAAAGATCGCACGAACCAGAACATGTGCCTATCTGACGGTGTCTTCCAGACGCTTCACCGTGTTCTCAAAGCTTGAAAGGTGCTTTCAGGTTAAAGGAACGCACACGTTAAGTTCTATTTAATGCCTTCCTTGCTTTGGTAACGGAGGAGGTAGCGGCGGCAGGAGTATTAGGTTGGGAGCGATCTTCCCTGCGCTCCCGCTCCCTCTTTTGCAGGCCACTCCCTCCGGCAGCGAAACCAGACTTGTTGCTCACACGCCGACTCGATACGAGCACCGAGGCAGGCGCAACACGTGAGAGCATTGAAGTAAGATAAACGGGAGGAGAGCATTGAAGTAAGATAAACGGGAGAGTTCTTCACAAACTGACGAGTTTTCAACTCTAACGCCTACGCAGTTGCTTGGGGGGGTG